CACACACACACACACACACACACACACACACACACACACACACACACACACACACACACACACACACACACACACACACACACACACACGCGCGCGCGCGCGCAGCAAGAGGATGGACTCGGACACGCCGGGTGCACTGCCTGCGCAGTCGTCCCCGACGCCACCGCGCGTCACGCGCTCCACCCGCTACAAACGGCCGCTCTCTGCGAGGCTAAGAACACGCTCGTGCTCGCCAGCACCAGATGCAGCAGACATGGGAGACCTGGCACAGCGGCAGAGCAGCAACGATCCGCGTCCACGAACAACAGCAAGCCGCAGCAATACGCGCACCCCAACAGCGCCCGTCACAAGCCACAGCTTACCAGCGCCGCCGTCTTCAACCCACACCAACAAGCATCGTGATGAAGCCGTCACCATCGCGCACCCTGGCAATAATGATGGCGGCGGTGGTGTTGACGGCAGCAGCGACAACTCCGGCTTTGACGGCGACTCACCACTGCTTCGAGCGCTGTCATCTCCAGCACAATGCATTTCCAAGGATGGTATGCGCCTGACACCTCCCCTGTCATACACCGGCGCAGGGCACCATCACCACCACCACCGCTACAGCCGAGACCTGCACGATGAGGCGATGCGAGTGGAGCATGTCAGCATCAGCCACGGTAGCAGTCGGGAGGACCTACGCACACGCCCAAACACTGGCAGCTCTCGCTCATCGCGCTCACCAAGCATCGCCCGTGAACGGGGCGGCAGTGCACGCTACAGTGGTGGCATGCGGCCTGCAGCCACCCCGCCTACCGCTCAGCGCTACACAACGCGTCGCCTCGGCAGCAGCAGCGAGACGCCACTTCAACCAGGGGGCTCATCTCCGCGCGCAGGCCTCCGCCCACGCCCACCGTCGGCGAGCTCGGGCCGCAGTCGCCCCTCGTCGCGCGAACACGTGTACTCACGACCATCGTCCCAGGAGCTTGTCGCAGCGTACGCCTGCTCCTTTCCTTCCTCCCGCGCCGCGTCTCGCCCCGTGTCACGGCCCGCGTCCAACGACAGACCCACCACCACTGCCAACACCACTGCCACCACCCTGACGGTTGCTGGCGGCGTGTCGCCATCATCGACGCTGGGGCCTTCACCGACGAGCAGCGCCGGTTCGGCCGCACAGATGGTGCACTTGCGACCACCAAGCAGCACCAGCAGCACAGCAGCGCTTAGCAGTGGCAGTGGCGGCAGTGGCGGTGCGAGGCGACGGAGCCAAATGCGACTGTCATCAGCATCTCGCCCATCGTCACGCGAACACACCATCACCGACCCGCGGTCCTTATCATTTGGCAGCTCCCCCGTGGGCCACACGCCACCGCCGCCGCCGCCGTCATCGTCATCGCTAACGTCTGCGTCGGGCGTGGCGCCAACAGGCGTGGGCGCTGGACCAGACCACCTCCACCGTGCACACGAGTCCGTCTCGCCGTTTGTGCAACGGCGGCGCTTCAGCCTTTCTCCCTCGGGGCGCATCGCTCCCCCGCCACCAACGTCGTCGCAGGGCGCTGCCTCGATGACGACAACAGCATCAAGAGGCCCACGTGTTGCGACTGCAGCAACAGGCGCCAGCGCAACCACCACAACCACAACAACGACCGTCACGAGTTATCCGGCGTCGCCACACGCGTCAGCGGGCACGCACCGCTTTGTGCGACCAAACAGCGAAGGATTCATGCCGTCGCCAACGACCGTTGTGGTTGATGTCGACCTGCTTGAGGAGCGGGGGAGGCGCCCGAGTGCACAGCCCGCATTCGGTGACTATCGACGCTCGTCCCTGGGGCGCGTGGTGGCCTCCCCAGACACGTCACTCGAGCTCACAGACTTCCACCCGGCCGGCACTGGTGCAGGTGCTGGTGCGCACAAGCACGTGTATACGGGGGTGGAGGGTGGGAGCAAGGCCAGTGTTGCATGTGATGGTGGTGATGACAATGAGGAGCACGAGAGAGAAGTGGACGAAGAAGAAGACAATGATGAGGAGGAGGAGGAGGAAGAGGAAGAGGAAGAGGAAGAGAAGGATTGGCTGCCGTCTTCCTATTTCGTTCTTCCAACAATCGAACACAAACAGCTCTACACCCAGCCGGTGCGCCAGCGCGTTGTTGCATTGCCTACCTTGGTTTGATTGTTTGGCTGTTCGCTCGGCCGCTTGAATGCCCCATTCCTTCCTTGCTCCATTGCTTGCCGTCGTGTTTTGGTTTGGACTGTTTTGTTTCTGTTGCCGCATGTCCGTTTGTTAGTCGTGCAAGCTTGCGCCTTCAACATGCACTGACAGTGCATTGCCTTTGCCTCCATCATCGTGCATGCATGCAGGCACAGGTTGGGCAGCTTCAGCCACTCTCACCACTGCAGCTTCAGCTCCTTCACAAGGTAGGAACTGACTCGCGCGCGTGTGTATGTGCACACAATCGCTCACACACACACATGTACACACAGCCCCCGTGCGTACCTGTGGTTTTGCCAAACGGCACTGTTCTTATCATGCCGGCTGCAATCTCACACAAACGTACGCGCACGTACGCACACACGCACTCACACACACACATACACATACACACACACACACACAACAGCAGCAGGAGGGAGCATCTTCGACTGCAACGAACGCGCTGGACACGCACACCATTCTGCTTCAGCTGACAGGGGCAGTTCGTGCCGACGTTTTGCACAAGGTATCGACATGGATGCCCAACACATGATGGGTTGTGGTTGAGGTTCTTCCGATCTTGTCTCGGCGTTTGCTCTGTGCGCTGTGTGTATGTGCGCTGTGTGTATGTGCGTGCAGGTTTGTGTGTGTGTGCGCGCAGTGACCATCGCGTGTGCTACGTGTCAGTGTTGCGACCGTGTTCGCTTGTGCTGCCGTTCTTCGCTCAACAGTGCTTCGTGTTCACACTTGTTGTGCTGTTCGCCACGCGTTTCAGGCGGCTGAGGACGTGTGCAGACACGTGTTACCACTTGTACTCCGCCCGAACGAGGACAACCAACAACAACACCAACAACAAGGGAGGGCGCACGTTCCTGATGCAAGTGACGCTGAGAAGACTGAAGCCCACACACCGCTGCTGCTCAGTGCACAATCGTTTTCCTGGTGCCATGCACCGCCAAGAATACGCGTGACACAGGTACGTGCTGTGTGTGTGCACGTTTCCTGTCCCTTTTCCGCAAGCATTTGCGCATTCTCAATGTTGAACAACACATACACACATTCATACACACACGCACGCACACACATTCACACACGTACACGCACACGCACACACAAGCGCGCGCCTGCACACTAAGAGCTGCTTTCTCACTGTTGCTGCCACCACTGTCATTGCCGCTGCCATCGCCGTTGTAAAGGCCCCCTCCCAGGAGCGTGCATTGCAAGACACCGTGCTCAACATTGGGCTGCCGCTGCCACTGACCAGCAGCACACCGTCAATGCACGTGCACATTGCACAGCACGACGACTTGCTGATGCTAGCGTGTGAATGTCTTCGCTTCGACCTCGACTTCTGGTCGCTTGCTGCCATCACCACCGCCATCCTCAACCACTACTTTGCACTCGTGCAGCCGCAGCGCATCTCCCAATCGTCGCCGAAGCCAGCAGCATCCACATCACTGCTCCACCCACACCCACCGCCAGCTCCGCCCACGTCCGCAGTTGCACCGCAGCCGCCATCCAATTCGTCGTTGTCCGTGCCGGAATCGGGGTCCGATGCCCCGCTTGCATCATCATCATCATCATCGCCGACGCCACGCCGCCGCCGGTACTCGGCCGCACGTGTGCACGCGCACGCAAAGGAAGGCAGCGACGGCCAGCCCACAGCCAAGGGCGAAGACGCTGCACAGGGCGCACGTGCCGGCGATCGCAGTGCTGACACTGGGGCACGTGCAACCCGTGAGTCGCCGTCCGCCACCGCGGCCGACGCACCCGTTGCTCCCCGCGACGCTGGTCAGCCCGCCTCCCTAGCACCGCCAACAGCAACAGCGCCAGCAACAGCGCGAGGTACGGGAGGGCCCACGGCGGCTGTGCGCACCCCGACGCGACGGCGACGGCGACGCTCGTCACCACTGCGGCCAACGCGACCAGCACCAGCAGCACAGGACGTCAACGCATCCACACGCCCGCGCAGCGTCGGCGTCTCTGCATTTCACAGGCGCCGCACACCCTCCACGGGCAGTCGCCGTGGCAGCGGCAGCGGCACAGGTGATGACTGTGGTGATGGCCACAATGGGGACGGCGTGTGTGGTGATCTGCATCGCTTTGAGGCCTTGGCCCCACTTCTCTCCATGCAGGCCGACCCCATCCACCACCAGCTGGTGCAGCGGCAGTGGCAGCAGCTTGTGCGCCCCCGCCACCGCCCCCGCCCGCTGCCAAGCCCGCGCTTCTTCCTCGATTCTCGGTCGCGGCGTGGCGGTGCATGCCGTGGGTTCCGCATCAGCCGCAGCAGCATGACCATGTTCACTGCGCTGCTGGTGCTGCCGGAGAGCTGTGATCTGCTGGAACGAGACGTGCCGCGCGTCGCGTGCATTGCCTTGTTCGCCATTGTGTCATCGTTTCTGACACAACAGGACGAGTTCGTGTTTGCGGTGGAGGTGGACGCGCGGCAGGCCATGGTGCCCAAGAACACGCTTGGCCCGCTCACCCAACCCGCTCCAGTGCGTGTGAACCTTGCCGAAGCATCGTCCTTCATGGACGTGTTTCTGCAGGTTGCATCACAGGTGGTGTTTATGACGCGCAACGCAACTGTGCCGTGCATTGCCGAAAATGGCTCCTCGCTCATGGCCTCCTCACCCATCCAGGTGTGTCTGTGTGTGACTGTGTGTATGTGTGCTGTGTGTCTGTCTGTCTGTCTGTCTGTCTGTTTGTGTGCTTGTGTGTGTGTCTGTGTGTCTGTGTGCTTGTGCGCTTGTGTGTGTGTGTGTGTGTGTGTGTGTGTGCGTGTCTGTGTGCTTGTGTGTGACGCGGGACACCGTTGTGCACAAGTTTCATACTGCTTGCTTGATTGCCTTGATGTTACTCACTCACCCCTCGTCACCACAACCCCGCAACCCACCGCACTGTTGATCCTATTGCAGTGTCGGTATCTGCCGCGCGCGAGTGTGGCACCGCTGGCCACCACCACCACGCGCCCGCACCCTGACCTCCACTACAGCGGCAACAGCCACATCAGCGTGCCTGGCGCCGACTGCGTGGTGTCTCCGCTTCACCTCCCCTTCCTCCTCTCGCCGTCATCTCGTGCTGCCCGCGCAACGCCGCTGCCACAGCTCGAGCTCACGTTCTGGGAGCGGCCAACACCGACCGATGGCAGCGGCGGTGACGACGATGACAATGAAGATGGCGAGTGCCCACGCATCAACGCATCTGCAATATGCACAGGCCCCTCACAGAAGGAGTGCATGCAGTTGCTCGAACGCATGGATGCACTGCTGCGCTGTGCACTGCGTGAGGTGTCGGCGGAGGCGTATGTGCGCCTCTCAAAGCTGTGGACACGCATGCGGAAGGTGTGACACCACAGGGACGTGTCAGCATGGTTACAATCGTCGTCCTTTATTTGCTCTTGAGGCTGGGAGGATGCTGTTAGGTGGCAGCGGGTTGGGGGTGCTGTTACTGTGATTGCTCCTCTTGCCATCACCCTTGCATGTGTTCAAATCAACTGTCAGCCCTTCATGTTTGCTCAATGATGTGACTTGATTTCACATCACGCAATGCGATGCTGTGTAAAGTGGCATGAAAAGTTGATTTTTTGTTGTTTCTTTCTTTCTTTCTCCACGACAGGTCTCTAGTTAGCACTCTCTTGCTTGTTTGCTGTTGTTCATATGTGAAGGACAACCCTGCCTTGCATCCGGGACTCCCCTTTCGACTGTTCCTCTTGTTCTTACTTGACGCGCATGTGCACACGACGAGCACTGTAAACCATCTGTAGGCCTTGTTCGTGCGAATTGCATTTGCTTGTACCTTATGCAACACAGAGGAGATGATCACAGAAACACCCAAAGAAGACGCAAGTACCAAAGTGCTCAAGTAGCCAACGAGGAGAGGGCGTTGTGTGTTGCGTGTATTGTATGTGTGTGTGTGTGTGTGCATGTGTGTTGTGTGTGTTGTGCTGTCGGAGTTCGTATGTGCATGTGTTTAGGTGTGAGAGATCTTGCTTGTCAGTTCTTCTTGATAATCTGCAAGACGTCTTCGTCCTCCAACACGTGGTTGATACCCACGCGCTGTGGGTTGTGCTTCGTGCTCGTGCCCTACGCATTCAACAGTGCACACACACGCACACACACACACACACACACACATACACACATACACACACACACACACACACACACACACACACACAAGCACGCACGCGAGAGGTTTGGGGGCAACAGAGGTGAGATGGAAACAGATTTACGCA